CTGACCATGTCACACCCCTATTGTGTCTGTTCACTGACTTTTGGTATAGAGTTCCAACCCTTCACCTTCACTTTTAAAGGCCTTAATAAGACTGCATCTGCTTACAATTCTTCCCTTGTTTCTTCCTAGTCCCTGTCTTGTGGTCTGTTGACTCTTCTAGGCTTCTTGTTCCCTTTGTCTTTCTTCTGCTATCCCATGCTTTCCCCAGAGGCCTCTCTGCTTGTAACAGCCTCCCTCTTCTCACCAAGCATACCCACTCTTTGTAATATAGCCTCAAAACTCACCCTCTTGCACAGCCAGTGACCTCCACTAGTGAAATATGGCTTTACCTTTCTAGTCTTACCAAAAAGCAAACTTCCCATGCACACCTTTACTGTTGTAATATTTATCCCGCTCCTTTTTTATTTCCTATGTTTTTCTCATTTATATGATAAATTTTGTGGTTTGTACTATAAATCACAAAGAATTTCTGTAAATCACAATGCAAAATCATACTGAGGTATACATAGAGAAAATGTAGTGACACTTTTCAGATTTTTCTTCATGGGGAATAATTTATAATTTTTATTTAATGTTAGTTTAGATCAGGAATATTGTCTATAAAGTGTGTGGGATCAAAGTGCACAATATAGCTGTAGTTTGAAAAAAAAAACAAATTATATATCCGGGGTGGCCAAACTGTAGCTTGTGAGCCACATGCAGCTCTTTTACTGTTAAAGTGTGGCTCGCGGAGCCCTGCCTTCCTCCCCCCACCCCCTCTCCACTTACTAGACTGGGGGGAGCTTGGGACCTCGGCCTTGCAGCGGGGTGGTGGCGTTGGGGCTTCTGCCCAGCAAGGAGGGGGGTCTCAAGGCAGGCATGCTCCAGCTCTCGAACTTCTGAAGATTGTCATATGTGGCTCGGAGGGCCAGTAAAGTTTGGTCACCCGTTATATACTTAAATCAAAGTTGGTCTGGACGAAAGTTTTATTTACATTTACTGATAAGCAGTTGAAAAAGAACAGCAGGAAAACTATTCACTTGTATACACTGCTCTCATATTGTCAATATCTCAAATAGGATCAATTTAATAAGGTCAGCACCATAAAAAATTCCAAACTATTTAATTCTGTTAATTTTGAGCTTTATTAAGTGCACTCCACAGTTTGTTCATTTTCAGGTATTTTTGATTTAAAAATATGTTAGAGTAGCTCTTTAACGTGCACTGTATAACAAAAGGCATGATAGTTTTTCAAATGATTGTCATAATAACTTGAGGGCAAAACACAAAAACTGTCAAAATGCAAATAATCCTCTCAGAAGGAGAGGTCTACTTGTCTAAAGTCTTTCTGAAATTTTATTTTTAATGAACAAGTGTATTTTGTATTTTCATGCTACAAATGACTTCCTAATAAGATTTATATCCCCACTGGAAATATAATGACAGCAGACCTCTGCTCTGATGGACGTATTAATTAAAACCTCTTCCAGTGTAGCCTAGCACAGGGATTTTGCCCATATTTTTATGTTGGAAAAGAAAAAGGTAGTAATCCCTTAATATTTAAATTTAAATTGTTTTGCCTTTGCTGCAGGAATCAATGCCGCACTGTTGCCATTTAACTGATATTCAATTGGACATGTAAGCGAAGAAGCTATAATGTTTGTTTTCTATAGCTGTAGCTATGAAGGGAAGGCAATACTGCACTCTATACTAGCAAGTGCAAAAAGCAGTTCTAACTCCAAGTCAGCGAAGCTATATACTCACATCTAAAAGCAGATTTTTAGAAGTTAACTCGTGCAAGTGAGTGTGTTATGTTCTTCTCCTAACCAAGGGTTCAAAACTTCTAAAGCACTATGAAGGGCATCAGTCCTAGCCCTGAAAAGAGAACCTGGCTTTGAGAGAGAAAAGGGTATAAATGAATCTCCTTCCCTAACACAGGGACAAATTTTATGTGCAAATGTATAAGTACAATGCATATGCATATTGCAGGGCAAATATTAGCCCAAAGCTCAGCTGTCTGCTTGTAATACCTTCAAATGCAAAGGCATTGAATTCTCAAGCAGATCGTCAAATAACTCCTTATTCAACTGGGTGCTTCTGCAGTAGTTAGCTTTTTCCTGATGGATAACAGACTTGTAGACTTTAATGTCAGAAGGAACTAACATGATCATCTATCTGACCTCCTGCACATCACAGCCCACAGAATCTCACCCATCCACTCTTGTAGCAGGCCCATAACCTTTGGCTGAGGTACTGAAGTCCTCAAATCTTGAGGACGTGATGGCTGGAAATGTCAAATATACCAGTAATAAACCTGAGTTCTCTATTTGTAACCTACCACATTATGAAGTTTTTACTCTTGCAATAACTCTCCTTTAATAGTCACTCATTTTTATGAGAGTTGAACTGGGCTAACTCAGTAATATTTTTATTGTTTATTCCTTTACTTAACTTGATCTGATTACAGTCTTCACAAAAACGACAAATTATTTTGTAAAATACTGTATGTTCCAATACTTTTAGCTCAAAAGACCAATCTCTAAGTCAATTTTCTTTCCATCATTTGTACACTAAGATCTCACTTCTTACAATAAGAATAAATTCAGCATTTCTGTAATCCAAATTCCCCTGTGGTACAGGAATGGAAGGGAGGAGGAATCAAATAGTCCCAATGCATGCCTCAAAGATGAAAATAGTTACAAAATGTAAATACAATGGGTTAAAATATTAATTTTTAGATTATTTTTGGCTAAATTTAAAGTGGGGAGGGGATTTCAGGAAAGAGATTAGGCAGAAGGAGAAAAAGAAAATGTGGTATCATCATTCTTTAGCGGAAAGTCCTCCATATAATACATATACAGGAACACCAAATGGTGTCTGGGAATATCCTGTACGCTTGAAATGTTTAATTGAAAAGCTTTATATTAATATGTTCTGACAAGCTTTTAAAGTAGCCAAATGCAAGTCTGAGCTATCATCTTCATTACTATTATATATTCAAGGATATTCTACAAATGAAATGGTAATTTAACTGCATTTGTCCATTATGAGATTACAAAATAGAAGTGATTTTTAGTTTAGAAATGTAGTTGCTTAATCACTAATAATAGATACTTTGAAACTTTTTATAAGGGGCGAAACCCATTTCTTGAAAGACTTTACAGTCCTTTGCTTCTATGGAGACATTTTCCTTAGATCAAAACTTAATAAGCCTTGGTAGAAAGAAAAAAGCTAGATGAAAAGAATTCATTCCTATAAGTGAAAATAGTCTTCATATCCACAAAAAGTAAATACCCTTTTTCTCATGCACATTAAAGCTGATCACTGACTTTTTTCAATTAAAATTAAATACATTCAAAGATAAGGATTAGACTACTGCAGATACCACAACAGAAGATGCATTGAAATAGGTTGTTGAAATAGAGACAAACTTTGTTTGTACAATAGCAAATTAAGATTTAAAATATATATTTTAAATATCATGACCTGTAACATATGGCATAAATATTTATATGCTGGGGGTTTGTACTAGAAGCCACAGCAGTTAGACCACCTGCCATAAGAAACTTTTCTCTTTCAGATTGCACCATATCTCCTGGAGTTTATGCTGGGGAAAGATACATCATTCCATAACACTATTTTAAATTATATTTTTGCAGTTACAAATACAGAATTTATAAAAGAACACCTATCACATTCTCCAACTACCTTTGCCAGCCATGAAAAATGAAACATGCCAATATAAATACAGTAGTTTATTCTCAGATAAAAGTAATAATCCAAGCAAAAAACAAAAGCAAACCACACTCCATGTTACTCTCATCACAGCACTGACTCTCACCCCTCTTTATACCCAACACTCCTCAAAGTTTGTGTAAACATATGTTCTGCAGCTTGCCACTTTTTTTTTTTTTAAACATACGACTGTTACAAGCAACATTCACTGATGATGAGAGAAAAAAGTTTTAATGTATTGTGTGAATCTGATAACTGTTTGTATAGTTATTTTCAGTTTCCACTATCATTTCCTGCATTCTACACAGATGCTGGATGGATATTTTTGCTGTGCCAAGTTTTTGGTATGCATTTTCTTTTAATGGCTGACTAACATTTTCTATGTGGTACACAATTCTTGTTGTTAAACAACTGTATTCCACGTTTATATTTATTAGTTACTATATCAAAAGCCTAGTATCTGTGACAGATATGCATCATTGCAGTAGAGTATAATGCATACTGCAAAAAGGACACGCTATTAAGCGATTCCAGGATACATTTTCTGAAGCAACAATATTCATTTGCATGATAAAAAGATGAGACACCACGAATACTGACATGTATATAAAAGCAAGGTTTTAAAAACAAGCTTCATCAGTGTTTTGTTCATACACATTGTCAGCATTCACTTGTTAAAATTAACATCTAATGTGAAATAGCTTGAGGGTGGCTGATCCCCTTAAACGATCACTTCATTCAAATCTTCTCTGCCCCCAAACACACAAAATAAACAGAGCAACAGACAAAAGCTTATAGCAATGCACTACACCAGTAAGAAAAGAGCAACACATTGTCTTTAGAGACTATGAGTATGATACATAACTGAAAGAAAGATGGAAGCATTAAGGGTTCTACAGAGAAAGCCTACAAAGAAAGGCATGTCCATACATGTTAATACAGCCTTAAAACTAAAAGTTTAACATTTCACTCAGGAGCTGTAACCAAAACAAAGAAATATCATATGGACTAATAAAGTCACTCTGCTCCAGTGTATTAATTTGTGGCTGGTAGGGATGCCAGCTTGATTCCTTACATTCTAAACTGACAACAGCAATGTATGGGAAGTCTATGTGAGGAGATTAGCAGGGAAGTGGAGAGAACAGTGATTCAGAACATTTTCAAAAACAGAAAACATAGTTAAGATCCAAAATAAGTAAAACCAAGTCTTGTTTACAATGCTTTTGAGGTCTGAAAAATTCAGACTCCTTTCGGCAATTTATCATTTTCAGTATTATACAGCATACCTTGTTTGGCTTCCAACTCCTCTTGGGTAAGCTGAGGTTTTCTCTCTTCAGCAGCAGTACAGGGAGTGGCGAGCGTTGGATTATTATTTGAAGAGTTGCTAGCATTCTCTTGGCCTTCCTTGCCCTCTTCCTCCTCCTCATCACTGTCATCATCTAGTTTAACACGGTTTTTCTCCAAGGGAAGGAGGTCATTTTCTTTGGCCTTGATTGCAAAGCTTATTGGAGCAAATGATGCTGTTGGATAAAGGAACAACAACACTTTTACATATCACTAGCACTACTGTGGAAAGCAGGTTAAATTCTTCTGCTTAGTTAATTACCACCTCTGCAGATTAACTTCTGAAAGATGAAACATGACGCCCCCATTTTTACAATCCTCTCGCTCAAAACACAGTGTGCTGTTCGCAGTACACTCTACTCTGGGGAAAGGGAAAATAGCTGATCATTCTCCCCCCACCAATGTTTTCTAGCTGCTTCTATAAATTGCTCAGCCTTCTCATTAGAGATGCATTTACATTTTGTTTTCAGTATTCATCACAAAAAAAGTTAAACAGAACTAAAATTAATTTTTATATCTGGTCCAAAATAAAAAGACCTCATTGTTTATATAATCTCTTCCTCACAAAACTTAGTATGCAGCATTTGAGTGCTTAAGACCAGCACATGCTAACGTTTTCTACACTCATATAATGCTATTGTTTAAGGTTAGGCATGATTTATACATTGTGTGCTACAGTTGAAATTAGGAGAACTTTAAGAATACATTCATGAAGTTTGTAGTCTGGAAATGCATCAAACATCTAGATTTGTAGTATTAAGCTGTGCTTTTTTACTTTACATCTTAAAACCCTTGCTGCGTGGGGTAAAAATACATTCCTCCTCCGCCTTTCATACAACTTGACACTTTAAAACTGAAGCAAGTAAGTGGTTACCAAAATTTCAATCTCATTACAAAAATAGCCTGTATAAGGCAATAACTACACTACACCACTGTTAAATCATTATGAAGACAGATTAAAAAGACTGGGACTTTTCAGCTTGGAAAAGCGACAACTAAGACGTCTGTACAATCATGAATGGTGTAGAGAAAATGAGCAAGAGTAATTTACTCCTTCACACAAGAAAGAAATAGGCAGCATGTTTAAAACAAACATAAGGAAGTAATCCTTCACACAGGGCACAGTCAAGCTGTGGAACTCATTTCCAGGGGAAGATGTGAAGGCCAAAACTATAATAGGGTTCAAAAAAGAATTAGATAAGTTCTTGGAGAACAGGTCCATCAATGGCCATTAGCAAAGATAGTCAGGGATACACCCCTAAACTCTGGGTGTCCCTAGCCTATAACTGCCAGAAGTTGGGAGTTGACAACAGAGGATGGATCACTCAATGACTGCCTGTTCTATTCATTTCCTCTAAAGCACCTGGCACTGACCACTGTCAGAAGACAGGATACTGGGCTAGATGAACCATGGCTTTGAACCAACATGGCCTCTCTTATGTTCATTTAGCTCAAACTTCAATGAAAAGACATCAGTTTAGTATTTATCTGCTAGTTGTTGAGCTGCCTTTTCTGACCTGCCACCAGGTTTGACAGAAAGACCACGCTCAGTCCATTGGATCAATTGTATAAAAACAGTTACAAGTCACAGGTTGAAAAAATACGATAAAATCACATGGACATGAGGCCAACGGAACACACAAGCTTTTAATAACCCTTTGGTATCAGCAGCTGGAATTTCCCAATGAAAATTACTGAGAAATAAACAAGCAAGTTATAAACAGAAAACTCTTTTTGCTAAAAGATAAGGCAAAATTTTTCAGATGCTTAGATTTGTTATAAAAAGAATCTAACTGATGAGCTGAAAAAGGATGAAATTCCAAGGCAAATGAAAAAGTTCACATGAAATAGTTGTTTCCATAACAGTATAGCACTCTACAAATAGAATAATACTGAAAATACCTTTAGTATAGTCAAAATACTGAAATGGAAATAGCATGCAATTTCTACTTGTCATTTGGACAAAACAGGACATTTTATAAAACAGAATGCTGAAGTTTAGAATGGTATCGATAATGGGACAGAAATATCTGCCAAATAGGGTCAGTCTTAACATCAGATCTGGAAGACCCTGATTCTTCAGAAACATGAGCTGACCTTACCACAATCTGAACTTTTCTTACCCTTCCAAGAAATGTAAGTAGAGTTCTGCGCAGGTCATTCTGGGGTCTTTTGGATCAGACATTATTTAGGTCCTATCTTCTCTATGTGTTTTTGTTTTAAACAAAAGAGTTTACCCCAGATGGGGAATGAGTTACAGTTGCTCACACAATCCTAACTGTAACAGTCCCTGATTTAAATCCTTAATTGTACAACCTTAATATTAAGATGTAGATGTCCTAGGGGGAAAAAAAACTTATTTATTGATATCTGTGTGTGTATTTTATATATAAAAATAAAATAAAATATATATATATATATAAATAAAATAAATCTGCGTGTGTATATACAAATAGGTAAAATAAATAAAAGGACTGGGAAAAATACAAAAAAGCTACATTCTGGAATAAATGGCTAGATACCACTAGAATGCACCTTGTGAAGACCCCAGGGGAAAAAACCTCCCACTCCTGTCTGAATGTCCATGAGAGCAGTATTGCCTCTTACTAAGCAAACAGCCTTAGTCACTTCCAACCTGTGCATTTTTCACCTGGCTAAATAAGCAATGCACACATTTGTAATACAGCCTTCATTAGCTGTATACCTTACAAACTTAGCAAAAAGCTGTGCAAAATTTATTATCTATGTGTAAGGCTGCACATTTATCACAGAGGCCACGGATTCTGTGACTTCTGCAGCAGCCCAGTGCGGCTGGCCCGGGAACCACCTGAGCAACTTGGGCAGCCTCTGCGCCAGTCGCACTAGCTGCTGCTGTTGCAGTCTCAGCCCTCCCCACCCCCCAGTATCAGGAGTTTGGGTGTGGGGGAGCTCAGAGCGGAGAACTGGGGTGCAGGGCGGTGCTTACTGGGGGGTCTCATCTCCCTGGAAGGGCAACAGCAACTCCCCTCCCTCAGCTCCTAGCTCCTTGTGCTGCCTCTGCCCGCAGGCACCAGGGCTTGATATTTTGTGCATGAATCAAAGTATTTTGTATCTATAAGTCTACTTATTAGGTCTACAATTCTAGGGACTCTATACTTAGGTTAAATTTAGTGTGTGACCAAATGGTGGAATGTATTGGTACAGCTGTGCCACTGTAAAATTGTAAGCGTAGACATAGCCTTAGTTTTCCTAAGGGGGTATGTAGTCCAGTCCAGGACTCTCTCTTGGAATACGTCTATACTGCAATTGGGAGCATGCTTCCCAGCATGGGGAGACAGACACAGTTTAGCTGTGCTCAAGCTAGTGCATTAAAAATAGCAGTGTGGCCACAGCAGCTCAGGTGGTGGATTGGGCTAGTCATCCGAGTATGTACCAGATAGTCTGCCTGAGCTACTATCTGTGCTGCCATGGCTACGCTGCTATTTTTAGCACACTAACTCAAGCACAGCTAACCTGTGTCTGTCTACCCATGCTGGGAAGCACACTCCCAGCTGTTCTATAGACATACTCCAAAATAAATTCCTGGACTAGGCTACAGCTGGCAGTAAGCGCCATCTCTCGCAGAATGGCAGAGGCTTTAACAATGACAAATAACTGTGCAGACCATAGGCTGAAGTTGGAGAACTACTTCTCTGTTAGTCTGTGATCTATGCTATAAAACAGTTTCAGAATGTCTAGTTTGGAAAAATCTGCTAGACTTGGCTCTGAATGGAAAAGGGAAACAGTTGCTGATTGAAAGGACAGGACCTAGATAAAGGGGGTGGGTTGGTCCCGTCAGTGGGGAAGGAGAGGCTAGTCATTCCTCACTGGAGGGAACGGGGCCAAATGATGGCCTTTGGACCACATGGACATCTTTTTGTCTTTTTCCTGAAGCCACTTTCGGTCTTAAGTGGATCTGCTAAGGGAGGCAGACAGTGGCAGAGGTGCTCTCTGGGTAGTTGGACAGGAACTCAGCCATACTTGGGGTCTGGGGTAAAAGACGCAGACCTGAATTAGTTAGTTCTGGGGCAGGCCTGGAGTGGAGGTGACTGTGGCTCCTTGAAAAGACCAAGGGATCTAGGATCCCAATGGGAGCTCAAAAAGCTCTGGGAGTGAAGCAGCGCTAGAAGAGGAAGGGCACAGGTCAATAGGAATAATTACCTGGAGCCTCTGGAAGAAAGGGGGTTGTCTGCATGGGTCCATTACTCACTACCTGTTAAAAGACCGTGGTATGGAGATGGAAGGTGTTCACTGCCATATATTGCTTCTATTCCCTCTAGCCCCCAGAAGGTTCTATGGTTTGGGTCTGATATCTGCCCTTTGGCATCTAGTGGAAGAGAATTTTTCAAAAGCCCAGGTCTTCCAAATACAATTGTGTAAGGCCTTCAGTTACCCCAATAAAAAAAGGACTTCAGATTTCTGAAGACACCTGTGGTTCATGATCTGCTCTCTACTCTCGGATTAACATTTTTTCTTTAAGGATACTAGATGTCATTGGCAGAAGTTTAGTTGTTCTATTTGCCCATTTGTTTAGCATAAATTATGCGGAGGCTCAAGGATCCTGTCTAAACAAGATTACTAAATTGTACATTAGAAATAATTCATATGTTAAACAATTTAAGAGTCATGTCAACAAAACAAGAACAATTATGACCTAATGTGTTTTTATCATTGCAGCAAGCTGTAAAAAGAGGGGGGAAATAATTTTTTGCTTCCTTTCCCAATAAATCAAGTAAATAGATGGCAACAGCACAGGAAACAGGCCCTTCAAAGGAAATATGTCTACCACACAGACTTAGTGCATTTCAACTCCATTAGCTGACTTTCCAAGGTTGGTCTTAAACATATTTTCCCCATTGTTCTCAAACCGCTAAAATTTCACATGCAGAAAATTCATCTAGCATTAAATAGACCTCTCCTTCAGCAAGGCTTTTTCTTCCAGCAAAGGAAGAGATAAGTAATTGTGGAAAGTGACCTCTATATACTTCCAATATTTGCAGTTTCAACTAGACTACAGCATTTTCCAGATGAAATAATCAAGCAGAAGTCTTAAAGATTCCATTTTATCCACAACCCTATTTTGCCCAATGTTTTCAATTATTAGTTTAAACAAAACAGACTTATGTCCTGATATTTTTAAATTAGTTAGCAATGGCAAAAATAAGGTTCCACTAAGTTAAAACACTTACCATATAAAAATATGGTCTAGTGCTGAATAACTCAATTTAATAAAAATTCTATGCTATTTATGGTCAAAGAGTAGACATCTGAAATAGACTAATCCTGAGAGATACAAACTGTTTCAATCACTAGAAATTTTGAGGCTAGTTGTAGTTTCTTATTGTTCATAAAACAATACAGCACAGTTTCTTGTACAGAAGAGTTGGTAATATATCATAGATATCAATGGTGGGGAGGGGAGAGAACATTTCATAAGGGTAGCCTTCTTTTTGCCAATGCACAAACCATCCACAGATTTGAGTTATTTTTGCAGGCACAAATCAGGTAGTTAGAAGCACATGAAGTCAGATTTAGGCCTGCTCTACATTACAAACTTAGGTCGACATAAGCCACATTAAGTTGATCTAACACCGTATGTGTCTACACTACTGAGTCCCTTCCGCCAACCTCAGTAGCCTGTAAAGTCAACTTCTGTACTCCACCTTTGCGAGAGGTGCAGCACTTGATTTGACATCCATGGGCTGACACAACTGCATTGTCTAATTTGAATGATTTGCCCTCCAGGACGTGTCCCACAGTGCTCTGCTGCGACTGCTCTGGAAAGCGCTTTCAACTTCACTGCACGTCAGCCGGGTACACAGGAAACAGCTGCTCCCCGTTAAGCCCCGGAAACTTTTGAATTTTCATTTCCTGTTTGACCAGTATGGAGAGCTCACCAGCACAGCTGATCACGGAGACTCAAGGCCGCAAACGCGCTCCAGCATGGAGCACACAGGAGGTGGTGGATCTTATTGCTGTGTGGGGAGAAGAGTCTGTGTAGGTAGAACTCCGATCCAGCAGAAGAAATGCTGACATCTATGCCAAGATCGGGGCACGGGAGAGAAGGACTACACCAAGGACATGCTGAAGCGCCTTTATTTTCATGCAGCACTCTTCAAATGTACCAGAAGACAAGGGAGACAAACAGGCTTTCTGATTCTGCCCCACAAACATGCTGCTTTTATGAGGAGCTGCATGTGAATCTTGGTGGCAACCCCACCACTACCCCAAAATGCTCTGTGGATATCTCCCAGGAGCCTTAGTGACTTGCTCAGCTTATGGTTGAATGGGTCCTTACTGCAGTTCAGGCTGCCTGTGTACAGCTTCATGAACCACGGAAGCAAGGAATAGGCTGGGTTCCCAACATAGCGATTGGCATTTCAACATCACCAATGGTTATTTTGCAGTCTGGAAAGAAAGTACCTGCTTGCAGCTTTTTGAATAGACCGGTGTTCCTAAAGATGTACATGTCCTGTCCTGCACCTTTCACCGACATCAACATTGGATGGTCAGGAAACGGCCCGTGATACACTAGCGCTTGCAACATCATTGAGAAGTACCCCTTTCGGCTTATGTACTCTTTGGCAAGGGGATCTTGATCCCAAGATAGACAGAATGGATATCACTATTGCCCCACCACAGTGGGGCGATATCCATGGCAAAACCATCCACTATGTCCTGCAGGTTGCCTGGAGTCACTACCCTTCTTAGCAGAAGTCTGTTGATGGCCCTGCAAACTTGGATCACAACAGATCCCACGATAGATTTACCGACTCCAAATAGATGCCCCACTGACTGGCAGCAGTCTGGCGTTGCAAGCTTCCACAGAGCTATTGCCACTCACTTCTTCACTGTCAGAACAGCTCTAATTTTAGTACTGCTGCACTTCAAAGCTGGGGAAAGCTTCACAGTTCCTGGAAAGTGGCCTTAAGAATTCAAAAATTCTGCAGCCATTGCTCATCATCCCATAACTGCATAACGATGTCCCACCAGTCAGTGCTTGTTCCACTGTTTCAAGGTGATGCATGACTGTCGCCAGCAACCGTGAATTGCTCTGTTCTGTGTCTTCCAGCAGGGCTGCTTGCGTGGCATCACATTGTTCTGTGTGGCAGCTCCTGTGTTGGCTGTGTAGATAGTGCAGGATAAGGCGCAAGGTGTTTGTCATGCTCACAAACAGTGTACAGCTGAGCGGGGTCCATGCTTATCATGCTGTGGTGTCTGCGCGGGTAACTCAGGCTTACGAAAAAGGCTTGGGTTGTTTGCTGTTGATTTCAGGGAGGTAAGTGCATCATGGGAGACTAACTCCATGTTCCCATAACCACCCGTGCCAATGTTTTGGTCCCATAAGGCATTGCAAGCCCAACCCAAAATTCCTCTTGGCTCTGTACACTCTGGGATAGCTACCCACGGTGCAGTGCTTCGTGCGTCAATGCAAGCCCTACTAGTGAGGATAAACTCCGCCGACACGAAGAGTGTAGTGTGGACACGCAAGATCGACTTGCTTAAATCAGAGACTCGATCTTGACTTACATGAAGTCGACTTAACTTTGTAGCGTAGACATGGCCTTAAACCTAGCATTAGTTTTGAAAACAAAGAAGGCCTACAAATATGGAGGCTAGGACTTTGCCTATCTGAAAATTTATACCATGATTTCTAAACGTAAGAGTGAGCCAGAACATACCATTTGTTAACATTTAGAAATTATACTTTATGGAAGTGCAGAATAGATATGTAAAATTATGAAGATCCACAAATATTAAGTAACTGGTCTATAGATATCAGTTCATTTTACATACTACTTTTCAGCCATATAAAAGTCTGCTTTCTTCTAACTTTTTGACATTCAAGTTATTATCCTCTTGGGTTTCAAACTCAAAGTTTGACACACTGAAATATGAAAGTAATCAAATTATTCAGTTTGGTGCTTTTGGATGCCTTTACACCGAAGTCCTTTCCTTGCTAATTATAGATTTGTTTTTAATGTATGCCTACAAAGACTTCATCTTCCAACTGTCTCAACATACCTTTCACCAATTTACCATCGCTGATAGTTTTATTGACAGGTGAATCCTTTATAATTCCCGGAGCACTCATCTCAGATGCATCTTCAGAAGTGTCATCATCCAGAAACTGAGTTTCACCCTGTGTGTCAGAAGCAGTATCTGCTGGAACATCTTCTGGTAAAGATACACCCTTTTCAAAGAGAAATTCAAAATGTTAATGACCACAGTTAATTGCTGAAAGTAACAATGTCTGACATGCAATCCATTTACAATATACAGCATAAAGTTGACTATCCAAATGGCTTCATCCTCTGATACAACATTTTAAAGACAAGTTCAGTGTTTTCTAGAAAACAACAAGAAAGTGTTGCAAGAGGAATAGAATATACTCTTTCGTTTGACCTTATGTACAGCTTTCATGACTCCAGCATCTTTCCTCTGGGTAAGGACACACGCAACTACTTTTACTATTGTTGCTTTATTTATTTCTTTGAAAGATCTATTAAAATTAACTATTTTTATTTTAGTCTTCTTACTCAGTCCACTCCCACCCTATTAACTAACCCGCACAGGAAAAGCCAAGGAAATCAAGTGCTCTGAAGACCAACAATCCTGAGCACTGTTTAAAGAGGGAGAGAAGTGCAAGTTCTAGCACATCCATCACTAAAAATGCTCTACCACAAGTTGGCTGTGATGGTAAAAAGATCCAATTTGGAAACCCCAAGGTTAGAAATATTTTGAGGAATTGCGAATCCACCTCCTATTTACAATTCTAGGAGACATGTCTGCTGAGGTCATCAGTCATGGTGTTCTGTATACGCAGAACATAAGAAGCTGAAATGACTATCTGGTCAGCTATGTCTCAATTCCAGGGAGAGAGAGAGAGAGACACCGAGCGCACCCCACTCTGACTACTGATGAAAAACAAAGGCCACATTGTCATGATCTTGACAGATTTGGCTGTGATCAGGGGAAGAAAGTGGAAGGGAGCATAGAAGGGAGGTGACTTCTTGTCTCAGCAACTGATCGTCATATGGGTCCCTGAACAGGGAATATGAGAAAGGAATGGAGATGAAAGACAGAATAACCAGATATTATGACCTCCAATATCCATATATCAGATGCTGTTCTTCCCCATGAAGACTGAAAACAAGGAAGCGTCCCGGGGAGGGGAGGCAGGTTGAAGAATGGTATCAAGCAGAGAGTTCAGACTCTCGACCAAACCATCAAATGCAAAACGTTTAGATAACATGGGTGGCTGAGATGAATTGGTGGTGGCAGCAGCTTTTTTGAATAGCTTGTCACTTAGCTGGTGTTTCAGGTGGTCTACAGAAATCAGGAAAGGGAACTGGGTGAGATCGCTGTGCTGTTTGAGACCTGCTACGTTCTCTTTTATCTACAGGTGTAAAAAATCTGAGGGACCAATGCATGGCCCTCAAATCCTTCAAGATGTCAAGTGAGCCATCTGTACATTCTGAAAACTAGTGACCATCAAAGGGAAGGTCCTCTACAGTTCTCTGTACACCTCCCTAATGCAGATGGACAACTGGAGCCAAGATGCTTTCGCACCATGATCGCAGTGGAAACGGTCCAGGCTGCAGTCCAGGCTACATCTAAGGAGGCCTGCAATAGTGTTTTCGCTAATAGTTGCACTTCATGGTCTTTAATTGTTCATGCTGATTCTCTAGCAAAAGTTCAATAAAGCTGTTAAACTCATTGTAATTCAGAGAGTCATATTTTGACATAAGCGCTTAATGATTCACTGTTCTGAACTGTAACGTTGCAGAGGAATAACTCTTATGACCAAAGAAGTCAAGCTTAATATTGGGTCATCTACCATGTTCATTAACCTGCATCGACTACCTGGGAATTCGATGTTGGATGTGAAAATAAAACTCTAAATCCTGAGCTGACACTGTTTTTTGCCAGCAAGTTTACAAGTCCGAGGTAATGTAGGTAGAATCTGCTCGATGGTATTGGCAGGCTCTAGCAAAAGTTTTATTGACAGGGAGGGCCATATGTACAGAAGTATGGAAAACATCCAGTTTACGAAAGGAATCCTGGACCTCTACTAAGGGATCTGAAGCATATCAGCTATGTGTTTCATCAGCTTCTGTAACTGCCTGAAGTCAATTACCAAGAAAGGTGGTGGGAGCATTGCAGTCTCAGAAGATGACGAGATATTAGTATGAGGTGTCACCTCCTTATGGGTAGGGCCCTACCAAATTCAGGGTCCATTTTCATCAATTTCAGGGCCAGAGGGCATTAAAATTAGTCAATTTAATGTTTTCAGATGTTTACATCTGAATATTCAGTGTTGTAACCATGGGGGTCCCCCACCCAAAGAAAGGTCATGGTGGGTCACAAAGCTGTTGTAGGGGGGCTGCGTGATTGCCACCCTCACTTCTGTGCTGCCTTCAGATCTGGACTCTGAAGGCAGCAGCTGCAGAACTTCTGCAGCTGGGTCTGATCCCCCCCATGCTGCTGGGAGCGCCCCCGCCAGGAGCTCCTAGCTGCTCGTCCTGGTTGGTCTAGGAAGGGACAGGACTTCCTCTTCCGATGAATGGCCACTCTCAGGGGGAAATCAGACCCACCTCCAGCTACCTCCCTCAGCGCTCAGTGACCGGGACCCAGAGGTAGACAGGGCACGAAGTGTGTTCAGAAGCTGATGTACAAGGAAGTTCTTGGATCCAGGGTCAGAAGCTGGTCTTAGAGCTTGATTCGTCATCAAGAGCTCGAATTTTATTTCCTTGCTCTCACAAGATCTACTTTTGAATGAGGAGCAGATCTTATATTTTGCCGGTATATGGGATCTCCCAAACACTGAAGATCCAAAAATGTCCACCTCTAACTGGGATAGCTTCCCCATAGGAAAGACAACTTTTAAAGCCTGAGGATCTTGGCATACCCCAGATGACAAAAAGTCCAAAATAACCCCTCAAATGATGAAACACAAACAGACATGACAACCCCAAACTAAAACTATCTAAACTATGCTAAGTAAACGTGAAGCTGGCAGTCTCAACCCTCCGTATCAAGCTGAAGGCAGTTGAGAAGAAACCAAGGGTGGTTTGCCTGTGCAATCCTACATATCCATAGTATGGGTCACTTGGACAGGGGGAATGGATACTACCACCAAAAGACTCCGATCAAAAATGCAGGGGATGCATGCACCACTGAAGTGGAGCACCCATAGGGACAATATTCAGAAGAACATGAGCTTTTTGATTTGAGTCTCTCACTCTCTAGAATTCACCAGAGAGCTCTGAACCAAAAAAGCTTCCCAATGAAAATCACCACAACTAATACCTCTCAGCTTTGATGAAACAGCACATTTCAACAAAATTGAATTTAACTGAAATTATCCTCACCAGCTGTCTTAAATGTAAACAAATTATAGCAATTTGTCAATAGATATGCAGTAGCAGACCCGGTTCCTGATATGTACAAAAACTTAAACAGGTTGATGCCTGTTCTATTCCACTTATTTTTCATGCAGTTTCAGTTTATTTACCTTTATTAGTTATCAGATTTTCTCTCCAAGTAAAAGTGAGTTTTCCAGAAAATTATGGAAATATTTTATTCAAGTTACTGTTTACAATATTATAAAATGAAAGCTGAAGGTAAACATTTGACAGTGCCATAAAATAGCAGTGTTAACATTTTTATGATGACATAAAATAAATATAATTTTTCGTATTTTCTAAATATAAAGAAAGCTGAAGGATAAAAATAATTTGATTTTATATTGACATTTCAGAAATGAAAGATCTGCAAATTCAGTTTCTCTTTTATCTGATACAGTTAGTGACATTATTAGAATTTACGTTGGTGTATGGCATGCAGCTCCATGAGATAAATCAGGTGTAAATAACTTTATACCTGTTGCAAGAATAAAGAAAAACACAGCCAGAGATGTGACCTTAGATTATTTGTTAAGAATGCCTTCCCATGAAGTAGAGAAGGGTAGAATTAATTATTCAGGGAAGACAACTGATTTGAGATAGAACTGATTGGTGAATGAAGAAATTTAAATACACATGGTCTTCAGGAAACCTGAGAACAAAGGTCATTTTAAATGTTAATGCTAACAGGCACTGGGGAAAGTTTCCAAGCTTTGGTTCCTCTCATCATACTGGAGTGATTTGGAAGACTTGACAAGCAGATGCTTGGTTTCCACCTTCGAATGAACTAGATCAATCCCTTTATCTCTAACTCTGATGGAATCTAGAGGCTGTTACTGCATTAAAACAGCTGCATAACTTAATATAGGGGGGAAAAGGCTTGGATTCATTCTTTGCTTATTTATGCATAAAAATCCCAAAAAACACTCATGGAGGGGGAACTTCCATTATCTATCTTGTTGCCAATTACTTGTCCCTAGTGAATTTTGTGGACCTAACAGCTATTCAGTTTGCTTAACCACTGACAATGACTGGAATCAGATGCACCATCCTGAGACTGAGTTGGCATTACAGACAGTACATGCCAAGTTGACGGATTTAAGATAAGGGAGCCTACAGTCCACATTGTAGAACTGTGTTACATTTGGTGCTTAGGCCAATCCTTGGTTATTCCTGTTCTAGAGGACTATAAAGCCAAACCTAAAAACTGGTCAAGTTGACCAAGAAAGAAGTTATTTGTACCATTTTATTTTTAAATAGTAAAACTCAGTCAATATTTTTCACTCTAATACTAATCCTGTGAGAGTGTGAGAACTGAAAAAGCAACACAGTATAAGTTCATGTAACTTATTTAAAATCAAACACCTTTAATGTTTTCCCATTTCAGGTTCCCACGTTTGGTTTTAAGTTTAAACTAGAAAACAACTGTAAGGTAAACATTAGCAAAGAAAACCCAATAATTTTATATTCATTGATTTAAAAGTCTGATAATACACAGTTGTAGCATTGTCCAAGATACCTGAATAAACTTTGAAATTAATATAAATTTTGTTCTGTCATGACTATTGATATTCTGACTTGTAAATAAAAATATATTTCTAAAACGATATCTAAACTACTTAAAAAATTTGTTAAGCCTCACAATGCTAAACAGGCAGGTCAAGTCTTCATAATGTATCAGTTTGAATAGCAACATAAACTTTGTAATTTACTTTTGCCCACACCTTGAATGAAATTAATAGCAAGTATTTAGCATTCTCTTGTTGTCCCACTGCAATAACTAAAG